GATAACAAACGCTCGCATACAGATTTAGCAACGGCAATGGCAATAGATTTAACAGTTAGTAAGCCATAAACTTTAGCTTGTCGAGATGCCCCGTTATCTAACATGTGTGGACTGTATAATTTATTAGAGTAGTTGGAATTACATATTTTTTATCTTATTTAATATTTTTAATATGTAAAATATATATAAGTGCCTAGATATATTGCTGTATTCCGTTCTTTAGTGGTAACGAACATGTTTAATTTTGAACAATAATATATCCATGTACCATATACATATACAATGTATAAACTTAAGCATGTTGTTTATAATTCGTACAAAACTACTGTAACCAAAAATAAGTTTTTAATATGAGATAGGAACTACTAGTAATAACTTGCTGCCTGGTCGGGACCATAAGGAGGGTGCATAAATACCTCCTGACCTAGTTGTTGGAGCTTGTGAACATAAAAGTCTGTTTGTTCTTTTATGTGAGTTTACTGAATACATACATCGAAAATGTGATCTAGCCTTTTCGCCAATATGATTTCTTGTATAATACACCAGGTATTCATTTAAAAGTACATACGTTTTTTTTTTTTTTTTCAAATAATTAAGTTCTCATTTTATGCTCCGAAAATTGCTTCAGTTGTGACATACTTTTACCATATAGTATATTAAAATATGTGACAAAAGAATGAAACATATATTATTCTATGAAATCGTGACAAAATCACAATCAAATATTCTTAACTTATGTATATTGAAGGCTATAAACTTAGACTTAGTTTTATTCCTATGATTTAGTTCAAGTAAGCTATAATAACAAAAATTAAAACATCTTCAAATAAGAAGAGGCTAAATTTAATATATTGTGTTGATCAACCATAGGACCGAAATTTTCATACTACGCATATGACCAATTTAATGCACATTCACTTGCTTCTTTAGTTTTGTTAAAATATCACACATTTCGACTTACTTAAACAGTTTGAATGCAGGTGAAAAGCCGAAATTGTTTTATGGAGCATTTGCGGTCCTGACGTGCTTCGCTACGTATGTATAAA